TTACTCTAAACTGATATGCTAGCCCACACTTGGCCTCCAGAATTCCTTAAAATTTTAGCTGATTTCTTCTTACGTGCTCCCATGGTGGCCTCTTCCTCCCATGCTCTGCCAGATGTGGAAGTTTCTATGTCTTGTCTCTCCTTAGAAGGGCTTGTCACTCTTTGAAATTCAGTTCCCTTGGCTGCCTAGTGACCACAGTTCTCTGATGGATACAAGAAAAGCTATGACTTCATAGTCTGGCTTTTTCTTGTTAGAGTGGAAGTGACATTCCCTTTTGACTTTCTGCATTCTAAGCTATTGTCTGAACTGTACTTGCCCACATTTGTGACTTTCAAGTCACCCACAGGTTTCCAAGCCATTAGCAGATCTGTGCCCTCAAAGACTTATTGCCAAACTTGGGCTGGGTGAGCTTTTAGAATACAGTAGAGGGCGTCATGGAGGAGGCGGCCCATGAGGAGAGGTATCCATGGGCGAGTAGCTTTCCGTTACTTGCAATAAAGTGCCCTTCCACGTGAGTGGGAAGCAGCATTTGACCATACCTAGATTTTCTTCAACTTGTTTGATTCTTTTTCAGTTCCTCTGGTTGTGTAAAACGACCTTCAGAGTGACCGTTTTTGCTCCAGATCCTTTTTTTTTCCCCCTTTTGCTCATCTTGGAGAGCACATCAAAGTTTTGAAGATGTATGAAAAACCTTGCGAGGTAACCCTGATGTGCCCAGCATGACTTATTCCTTATGTTCAGAGTTATTGTTACTGAGCTGAAGAAAGAGTAGGCCTTGCTGTGCTCCTTTCATGGGCCTCAGGTTGTGTCCGGGGTGTTTTGTTTTGTTAAGGATAGAAATTTCTTTAACCTGCTCTTTCTCAGCTCTCTTTAATCCTAGACGCCTTTAAATGAACATAAAGGTCTCATACCCTTTTAATCAAATTACATAGCTTGACTCAAAACAATCCAGAAAGATGACCCACTGCTTTGTTTTCACAGTGCGTCCCCTCCCACTTCTGTGCTGCCCTCGCCCCAGACCAGAATCACTGCCTAGACTTCTTCACTGTTGTTGCCAGTGTCTTCAGTCTGGATATTGATGCATCATTTTCTCATGGTGTTTGTTGAGAAATAATCCAACAGAGAATGGAAACAAGTCAGTTTTGAAATACAAGAGAACACAAGGCAATTCTCTTCCAGCAGGACGTCAACCATGTGCCCTGAGACGAGACTCCGACTCTTCAGATAGGTTCCTCTTCTCCAGAATGAGCTAGAATGATTGGATCAGTGCCAAGCACTTTGTTGCCATCAGAAGGAATGAGGCCCACCTATTTGTTTTACCTCACTTCAGGATGAGAATGTATGAAGTTGCCCATGCCCACTTATGAAATTGCTGTTACCTCTTAAATATCCCAGATGATAATATTAGTGGCCAAAAGGTAGTGACAAACTTCTATTAAATAAAGTAGGCAGTCTGTTAGAAATACGTATGTTTTTCCAGGGGACTCAATATGGCTATTTCCATTTTTAATGTTACATGTAAGTTCTATACATATTTTTATTCTTCCTGAATTTGCTGTGGTGCGGAAAAGCTTGCTCAGTCTCTTTCTATCTAGTTCATTGCTTTCTTAAAATCATTCCTGGTACAAAATTGTTATTCTATAGATAAATGTTGGTTAAATGAATCTTTAAGCTTTTTTCCAGTTCGAAATTTTATAATTGTTTATCTAGAATTCAGAATTTCAGGATTGAAGTGGAGGTGGGTTCTTTTGGAAGCTGGTTTTCTTCCAGACTGGGCGTTTGTTTTGTATTCCTTCTTTGATGTTAGTAAGTGCTGAGAGAGTAGCAGAAATGCACAGTGGACCAAGCTTACATGTTGTTGTCACCACTCAGAAGCTTTAGGGGACGAGTACGTATAGTGTAAGAGCCAGCTCTGAAACATTGTTTATATTATTTTTAAAAGTATTTTGAGGCACCTCCCTGTCAGCAGAAACTTGTGTTTTTTCCTCTGGTTTTAGGTGATTAGTGCATATAAGTTATATACATTTAGTTTTCTTTTAGTTAAAAAAAAAACTATGTGTGTAGCACAAATAGTTTGATCACTTTTCAGTATTAAATTTAGACTAATTAACACTAAGAGGCGACATAGTAAATAGATTCCAACTCTGCTACTGACCAGCTGCTCAGCTGATGCAAGTACTTGATCACTGCTGTGCTAAAAAGTGAAAGGCAGGTAGAAATGAGTAGGAGGGGGATAAAGATTCTGGGAGTCAGGCAACTTGGGGGCCTGGATCTCCTGCTGCTGATCCTCAATTCTCCTTCCCTCCCAAGTGCCTCTGTCTTCCTTTTCCTTTCCTCTGGGCCGTGGGGGACCAGCCTGCCTTCATATCCACCTGTTGCTTCCAGCCCGTGATTCTGGTCCATCCAATGATGATTGGAAGCTCACACCTGCTCTCCTTTTTGGTCTCTAAGCAAGCACACTCTTCTATCCATGTTTTCTAATAGCTTTATCTGCTAGCGAGGAAGGAGAAACAGACCTTTTCGTTCAGGCCTCGGTGTGCTATGGAGAGGACGGGATGGTTCTAGGCAACAGCAGAAGAAGGGGAAGAAGAGACGGGAAGTCTCTGGTAAGGGGAGTCCCTGCTGTCATGACAGCAGCCTATGCTGTGGTGACCGTCATATTCATGTGTCTACAATCGATGATCAGAAGTCACCAGTCAAAGCCTGGGCTGGCTTGTGAAAAGCAAGGCAATGTTTAAAAAGCCACAAGTATGATGTTTAAGCTGCCGCCTGTCCCACAGATGTGGGTGTGTGAACACGTATGTATGTGATTAACCTGCTTTGCAATACAGCTTTTCCCTCTTAATAACAAAGAGAGCTATGAATTTGAAATGCATCATTTCTAATAAATTAGAAAGTGGTAGTCGAATATTAATCAATATGTTAAAAGTGACAGAATAAAAGATTACAGTGTTGAGAAAACGTTATATATATTTTTAATGGGTAAGAACCTCCATTTATCTTTGTGACTTCTTTTTGCTAGTGGCACTTTTGAGATATAATTTATAAAGATTATAAAATTCCCTTACTTAGTATGTTGTCGTTATTAAAGGTAAATATGTGTTTTTAAAGGTAAAGACAACGGTCATTCTGAAAAATAGGAAATTTATACATTTGTTTCATGCCCTTATGCATGGCTGATTACAAATTTAATTTCATGCCAACTCGCTTGAATAGATAGAATACAATCTACACTTTAGGGATTTGGAACAGCTACAATACGATATATCTTATGGATATAATTACCACAGTTTTTATGTCTTCTGCACTTCATTGTTCTGAGGATACAGTTGTAAAGAAATACTCTGCCTTGTGGCTTCTGTGTTTTCTCTTGGCATGCAGATCACAAAAGCCTCTATGGTTCATTTTGAAACTTGGAAGGAAATGATACCCATATGATTTAAAGTTTAAGTTTTATTACCTTCTGCAAATTGCTTTGGAAGTATAGGTAGTCAAAAAGTAAAAGTGGTTTTAAATTTCAGACACAGAGAATAGCATAATCGCTTTTTAAAATTTAGAGATTTTATTCAAAATAGATTCTCTCCAGAGCAGGAAAGTTAGAATCACCTTTGTATAATATTTTGCATGCTTTTTTCTGTATTGCCATGAAAGTTATACAATCCCAACCTTCATCTCTATCCCTAATTTATGAATATAATGACTGACTGAAAATTCATCACAAATTGCATACACCTCCTGAAAGGCAATATCATGTTTTAGGTTAAAATTGCGAAAGGTGAGATTTGAACAATTTTTTTTTTTTAACAATAAAGGCTTCTGTACAGGAAAAGAACTTAAATACACACATAGATGTGCCGTCAGCTCCTTAAGGTGGGCACCTGCTACGTTATGCAGGAAAGTTGAGTGTGTTATTGGTGGTGCAGACTTCTTTAGAAATAGGTGCTGCCTGAAGTTTTCACTTGGTAGTATTAGTCTTCTGTTAATATTTGAAGTACTTGGTGACGTTGTTCTAAGCATGAGCTTGGTGCATGGTAGTGGGCTTTAATAAATCCAGCCTCTAACATTTTAGAAGCACCTCCAGCTGGAATCTAGGCCACCTACCCAGACTTAAGCCACCTACCCAGACTTAATACAACTGCAACAGTAAAACCATATCTGTCTGAAGTATTTAGGACCGTGGCTAATTTAATATGAGACTCTGAAGAGCCAGAGATTTCTGCTGGAATTCCAGTGTCTACTCATTTAACACACAATTTAATGGTTCATACTTAGCTGTTTCTGGTCATTTGATATATATAGTTTCCAGAAATAGTCCAGGCGTCTTATAGCCCAGTGAGTGCAAGTGGTCAGGAAGTGGTTTTCAAACTTTTACTGTACACCCCCATCACCTAGAGCATTGCCTAAAATGGAAACTCCTGGCATTACCCCCTAGAGATCTGATTCCATGAGCCTGTGAATCTGCATTTTAACCAGGTAACCCAGGTGATTCTGGGACAAGTGATTGAGTGACAACCCTTTGAGAAACACTGGTGTAGGAGATGTATATACAAACAGGGCCTGCTTCCTGGGTGTATGACCTGTGCGTTGTACAGGCTCCACACTCAGAAGGACCGTGCACGTAATGCTCTTCGTGCCCTTCTTGAAATTCTTAGTTTTTGAGCAAGAAGTCCTGCATTTTCATTTTTCCCTGGACACTGCAAATTATGTAGCCAGTTTTCTGTACAAGATTTCATTGAGTGTTACTGCAATTGTGTTTCCTGACACTCATGGATGGCAGTTATTCAATAGTGACGTTTTTACCTGTTTGTATTAAGCTGTAAACTCCAAGGCTACTTCTAAGCTTCAGAAGTGAATGAGTATCGTTCGTCATAGGACACACAATAGGAAATCCTGAGAGTGTAATTTTTTTCAAGGAAATTAAATTTTTATTCCTAGTGTTAAACATAGAAACCTATGTTTATGTTATTCTAATACACTATTTCTTTTTTTCTCCTAGGATGGTACAAAACAGAAAAGAGAACGGAAAAAGACAGTGTCATTCAGTAGCATGCCTACAGAGAAGAAGATCAGCAGTGCAAGTGATTGCATCAATTCAATGGTTGAGGGCTCAGAACTCAAAAAGGTTCGCTCCAACTCCAGGATTTACCATAGGTATTTTTTACTGGATGCCGACATGCAGAGCCTGAGGTGGGAACCATCTAAGAAGGATTCTGAGAAAGCCAAGATTGATATTAAATCCATCAAGGAAGTGAGAACAGGAAAAAATACAGACATATTCCGCAGCAATGGCATTTCTGACCAGATATCTGAAGATTGTGCATTTTCAGTCATATATGGAGAGAATTATGAGTCACTTGATTTGGTTGCCAACTCTGCAGACGTTGCGAACATCTGGGTTACGGGACTGCGGTACCTAATTTCTTATGGAAAACATACACTTGATATGTTAGAAAGTAGCCAAGACAACATGAGGACTTCTTGGGTTTCACAAATGTTTAGTGAAATTGATGTAGATAACCTTGGACATATAACTCTGTGTAATGCTGTGCAGTGTATCAGAAACCTCAATCCTGGTTTAAAAACTAGCAAAATTGAGCTTAAGTTCAAAGAATTGCACAAATCCAAGGACAAAGCTGGTACGGACGTCAGAAGGGAAGAATTTGTCGAGGTTTTCCATGAGCTTTGTACCAGACCTGAAATTTATTTCCTTTTAGTTCAGTTTTCAAGCAATAAAGAATTCCTTGATACCAAGGACCTCATGATGTTTCTTGAGGCAGAACAGGGTGTGGCACATATAAATGAGGAAATAAGCCTTGCAATTATTCACAAATATGAGCCATCCAAAGAGGGTCAGGAAAAGGGCTGGCTCTCCATAGACGGGTTCACTAATTACCTTATGTCACCTGACTGTTATATATTTGATCCAGAACATAAGAAGGTCTGTCAGGATATGAAGCAACCCTTGTCTCATTACTTTATAAACTCATCTCATAATACGTACTTGATAGAGGATCAGTTCCGAGGTCCCTCTGATATCACAGGATACATTCGAGCTCTTAAAATGGGTTGCCGGAGTGTTGAATTAGATGTATGGGATGGGCCAGATAATGAACCTGTAATTTACACGGGCCACACCATGACCTCTCAGATAGTCTTCCGCAGTGTCATTGATATTATTAACAAGTATGCATTCCTTGCTTCAGAGTATCCTCTTATCTTGTGTTTAGAAAATCACTGTTCTATTAAACAACAAAAGGTAATGGTTCAACACATGAAGAAGATTTTAGGAGACAAGCTCTACACAACATCGCCCAACGTGGAGGAATCTTATCTGCCATCCCCAGATGTCCTGAAAGGGAAGATACTAATTAAAGCAAAGAAGCTGTCCTCAAATTGCTCTGGAGTAGAAGGAGATGTTACTGATGAAGACGAAGGAGCAGAAATGTCTCAGAGGGTGGGAAAAGAGAACGTGGAGCAGCCCAACAATGTGGCTGTGAAGCGGTTTCAGCTCTGTAAAGAACTGTCTGAGCTGGTAAGCATCTGCAAGTCGGTTCAGTTCAAAGAATTTCAGGTGTCATTCCAGGTTCAGAAGTACTGGGAAGTCTGTTCCTTTAACGAAGTGCTTGCCAGCAAATACGCCAATGAAAATCCAGGGGACTTTGTGAATTACAACAAACGTTTTCTTGCTCGGGTGTTTCCCAGTCCAATGAGAATTGACTCTAGTAACATGAACCCTCAAGACTTTTGGAAATGTGGTTGTCAGATCGTTGCCATGAACTTTCAGACCCCAGGACTGATGATGGACCTGAATATTGGCTGGTTTAGGCAGAATGGAAACTGTGGCTATGTCCTTCGGCCAGCCATCATGAGGGAGGAAGTTTCTTTCTTCAGCGCCAATACGAAGGACTCTGTGCCAGGAGTCTCACCTCAGCTTCTCCACATTAAAATTATCAGCGGGCAGAACTTTCCCAAACCCAAAGGATCAGGTGCAAAAGGTGACGTGGTGGATCCTTATGTCTATATTGAAATTCACGGAATCCCTGCCGACTGTGCAGAACAAAGGACAAAAACAGTGCACCAGAATGGAGACGCTCCCATTTTTGATGAAAGCTTTGAATTTCAAATCAACCTCCCTGAACTGGCCATGGTGCGCTTCGTAGTACTCGACGATGACTACATTGGGGATGAGTTTATCGGTCAGTACACAATTCCCTTTGAATGTTTACAGACGGGCTACCGCCACGTCCCCCTCCAGTCGTTGACAGGAGAGGTGCTAGCGCATGCTTCGCTCTTCGTCCATGTGGCTATCACTAACCGAAGAGGAGGAGGGAAACCTCATAAAAGGGGCCTTTCTGTGAGAAAAGGGAAGAAATCCAGGGAGTATGCATCTTTGAGAACACTGTGGATTAAAACTGTAGATGAGGTGTTCAAGAATGCCCAGCCCCCTATACGGGATGCCACAGATCTGAGAGAGAACATGCAGGTACGTTCTTGTGTTTAAGAATTTATTGACTCGTTGGTTTTCCTTTTTAGTGTATGTGCATAGTTTATGAATATATTGGGGTTCATTTTTTTTTTTACAATAGTATATTTGATTTTAAATAATTTGTAAATTCCAATTGGTTATTAGAATTTATCACTAGTCTCATTTTTTTTATCATTTAAATTTCCAAAACCACGGTTGGTATTGATAAATACAAAACTATTGATAACGTGTTAGACTAAACCAGTCTTGTTGCTGTCTCACACACCACATCCTAGTCCCTGTTAATGATTGCTTAACAGTTCCCCATTTTCTCTAGTAGTGTACATGGGAATCTCTAGTAGTTCTGAAAATGCCTTAGCTGGAACACAAACTGATGGCCTATCAAAACAAAAGGGGTATATTCCAGTCCTTTCTTATGGAGCTGTAATGCTGGGAAAATAGCAAGCCCTTAAATGAACCAGTATGTTTGCATTAAGCCTCCTCTTGCTTTTAGAAGACAGCTGTTTAATTGTTTAAGTAAAAGACATGTGGTGTCTGTATTTATTAGAGGTCTAAGATAATAATTAACTCTGAACTATATAATGGCTAAAAGCAATCAGTTAGGAATTATGTGTGTAATTAAGGATCATCCACATGTCTGGCAGTGTTCTAGGGCCCATGAATGATACAGAACTAGACAGCAAGGGCCCGCCCCCCAGAGATACCAGCCCTAACCCGTCCAGTGTGTGAGAAGTGCCGTGTGCATGATTGCTGCACAGCGTGTGTTTATTAAAAATATATATATAATCATATAGTATGTTAGCTGATTATGTATATATATTCATACACATAACTATTATGAGAAGAATGCCACCAGCAAGTAAAAATCTGACTCAAAGGGGCCGGCCTGGTGGCGTAGTGGTTAAGTTCACACGCTCCACTTTGGTGGCCCGAGGTTCACAGGTTCAGATCCCTAGTGCAGACCTATGCACTGGTTATCAAGCCATGCTGTGGCAGGCGTCCCACATATAAAGTAGAGAAAGATGGGCACGGATGTTAGCCCAGGGCCAATCTTTCTTAGCAAAAAGAGGAGGATTGGCAACAGATGTTTGCTCAGGGCTAATCTTCCTCACCAAAAAAAAAAAATCTGACTCAGGAAATTCAACATATTTCACTCCTCTACCGATTCTATGGATACTCCATTAATAAAAAGACCTTCCTATAACAGAGAAATTTTACCATCTTTCTCTCAAAGTAAAAGCGTAACAGAAATGAGAAGAGCCTTTCCTGTTTCTGAGGGTGAAAATGGTTTGGTAAACCCTCAACTCTGAGCAAGCCACGTTGTCCCCGGCCCTGTGGCTGCTGTTGTGTGTGTGACACAGAATTCCCTTGAGGATCCTCGGGAACTTGAGCATCATCTTCCCAGAGATGCGTGTCTGCGCTGAACCTGGCCGAGCGTTGGTGGCGATGTTGATGAGCGTCAGCCAGGCACAGGCAGTTCGGGCCGTGAGGGTGCAGCAGTGAACCAGCAGATGACTTTGGTTAGGGGTGGGCATTGGGGGGTGGGGAACAGACCAAAACCAGGTGAATAAACAAATAGGACGGCTGTGGACGCAAGCAAGTGCTGTGAAGAAAATAAAACAGGGAGGTGTGATAGAGTGAGGGCAAGACCCCCTTTAGATATCACGGTAGTGACTTACTGTCATAAGTGGTCAACACTGAAGTGATCTTGAGCAAAATGACTTACAGTTTGATGTCCGTGTTTAAAGCAATATTAATAAAAAGAAAATGTTTAAATTTAAAACTAAAGTGCTGCTCATTTCCAAGAACCGGGGTATCTGAGAGCAGAAGGCATGGGGTTTGGAGGGCCTGGATCCCTCCCTTCTGGCTGCCATACTCAGTCCAGGTCAGGGCCTGTGTGCCTGGAATAATATGCCTGACTCCTATTTTGACTGGAGTTTACCTGTTATTATAGCATACTGGTTAAAAGCATAGGCCTCAACATCCACAGATTTCAGGTGAAATCTTGACTGCCAGCTCTGTGACCTTAGACACATGACAGAGAGAGGTCCTAGCCAAGCCTCAGTGTCCTCACCAGCGCCCAGCCCGCTGAGCGGATTAGGTGAGGGGTGTGTAGTGAACATGCCTACTGGAGCTCCACGCGTGGCGAGTGCTCAGAGAATGCCAGCTCGTGGCAGTTTACGGTGTGAAGTATTTTCTTTAATAGATATTTTAATGGCATACCACTGGTGATGAGGAAAAAAGAGAGGGGGAGCAGCGTCGAGATCAGTGGAGACACTCATAGGGAGGCTGAGGGAGGCCCAGGTCCCTGCTGGGCAGACCACACCAGTTACCTGCAGCCTCCTCAGAGTTACTCTAGATTTGGAACCAGCAGGCATACAGGTGAGAGAGATTCAAGTTTCTACCTCACAAATATCCTTTCTCTTTTTGGATGGCTGGCGTATTTGATACTTAGTTTAAAGCTGATTTGATTTTTTTCCTTCATTTTTACCTTTCTTGGAGGCAGAAGCCATTCTTTCTGTTTGCTCATAATTGCATATCAGCATTAGCACTGCTGTGAACTTTGATCTGAAAAGAGGCTTTGCCCTTTGGAAGAATTTAACTTATTTGCATTTTCTGGACTTTTGATAAATTGGCATTACAAATATCTGTAACTGTATTTACTTTGGAAAATAGCCATTTTTCCCAGGATGAAATACTTGTTAGCCAATTCTGTCGTAACATGGCTAACAACTGTTGTACCAGGCAGCTCAAGGATAACCAAGTATATCAGATATAACATCCCTGAGAAATTGAAGCCCCTGGTTAATTGCAAAGTGCCTCCCTTCTTTGACAGAACGCGGTGGTGTCGTTCAAGGAGCTGTGTGGCCTCTCCTCTGTGGCCAATCTCATGCAGTGCATGTTGGCGGTGTCTCCCCGCTTTCTGGGGCCTGACAACACACCCCTGGTGGTCTTGAATCTCAGCGAGCAGTATCCCACCATGGAGCTGCAGGGCATCGTGCCTGAGGTTCTGAAGAAGATTGTGACAACTTACGACATGGTGAGTAGTTGTTGCTGCTTCGATGTGGCTAGGTGGGAGAGGCATCTGAAGACTGTACACCAGGCATCCTCGGGAGCTCTCGCTGAGGTGTGCTTTCCTGCTTCATCCTTCATTTACCTATGCTGGAAAAATTACTCCCCTGACCTTACTGTATTTGAACGAGTTTAGTGTTTTGTTGTTGTTTTAGAAAGCAGGCTTCAGAGACACTTGCCTCAGTTGGATTAAATAGTGGTTAGCTTTTCAAGAACTATGTCTGAATTGATTTCTAAATGATACACTATTTTCCACACATATGTAGTAAAGAGTTTTTTATCTTCCCCTGCAACCAGCCATTAATTCACTCATTTTAATTTTGTTTTCATTTTTCAAACTGGTAAAGGTGAGAAATTTAATTAAAAAAAAATTTTTTTTAAGTACCGTAGGGGGCAGGTGCTTCCATCACATAACTGTACTGTGTGATTGTTTCTTCCCTAACAGCAGCTTCTCTGAGACACCTATAATTTGTAATCAGCTTAACATTAATGAGGTATCCTCAGGACACCTAGAATATTGCATATTTGTGCTTAAGGTAAATCTTGCATTTTCTTAATCGCATCCTGCTCTTATTATACTTTTTGATTTATTATAACTATAAGGGAGAATTTAGTGGATGAACAACACGCATTTCAAGCTCACAATGTAGATAAAGCTGTCAGAACTCCGTGTGAGTGCTGGCAGTTACTCTCCGGCCTGTCAAGGTTAAGGGTGGGGTTGGACACTCCTCTCCCAGATGGGCCAGGCTGTTGACTTTTTCCGCTCAGCGTGCTAGGGTAAGAGACCTCACCCACCACCTCCTCCACACTAAGACCACAGAACACTAGTCTTCTGATGTAACCTGCCATGGTCAAAGACAAAATGGGATTGGCATCATACACTTTAACAGAAATATTTTTGACTGTTTTATAACTTGATCAGAAAGCTGCAATTCAGAGGATTTATACAATTCAGGGGAAAGAAAAAGCACTTTAGGTCAGCATTTCCCACAGTGTGTTCTGAGGAACCTTGCTTTTTTAGGATGTTAGTGAGTGTCGTGTGGGAGAAAGGGTTCCATGGTGAAATAATTTGGAGACATACTGGTTTGAGCAAAATTACTCAGATGTCTTTATTACAGGATTTCTCAGGGCCTTTTATTTGCTGGCACACTGAGTCCCCGAGAGGGTGGTGATGGATACAGTGTGCCCTGTTTCACAAATGGACTTGACTATGGGGTACTGTTTCCGTGGGGTACTACATCTTCACTTCTTGATCTTATTCAGAACTTGTACCCAGCTTCCTATGGAGTAGCCACACTTTGTAACAGATTCTTATTATTCCCTGCTATTTCCAGCTTAGAGTTCATGGTAATGTGAGCGATATAAAGGACTGAACATTGGACACTGCAGGTGAACTGCAGAGAGTGATAGTCAACCTGCAGAAAAAAGGAGGGCCAGAGGCAAATGTATCTGATAAACACTGGGGGAAGCTCCATGCTGAGGAGCCACAGAGAGGAGCACGAATGGCCCCTGTCCTCAGGGAGCCATCCTGTCCACTAGAAGGTACTGGAGGCAGCTGGGGAATGAAATCAACATAGGAAGCTTACACGGAGATTCCTTTGGGGAAAGAAATGGAAAGATAGGAAACAGAGGTAAAAATGAAAAAGTTTGAAGAGCTCCTCCATGCTGTGACCCAAGCTAGCTAGTTAGTTCCCAGTTCTTTAAGTTTTATGAGAGAAGCCAAAAAGCTGGTATTTGTAAATGTTTTTTAAGCCTAAGCCACAAATAAAATCGTTTCACATTTTGCTGACCTATTTCCTTGACCAAAATCTAACATGACTCGCCCCCTTCGGTGTTTCCCTGATTTTGTGGCACTCACGCAGTGACATTTCTTCATGGTCACAAGAACGTCCTGAGAGAGGGGTGATGGTGCCCTGTGTAGGTGACAGAACACACTGGACAAGGGTTAGTACCCAGGACCTAGTTCAGGGGCTGAGAGCCGATCCAGAGCAGGAGTGTGATCATGGCTTGATTCTCAGGGCCTGTGTTAGAGAGCCTCATGGACACCAACAGCCTTCACAGCACCCACCACAATATTTGGCACAGGAATCGCTCAGTGTTCCTTGGTTCCCCGCCCCTTCCTCTTCCTGGACTGGTAGATGGTAACGCTTATTATGTAACTCTTATTTGCATATAACTTTATATGTAACTCTTATTTGCATATAACTTTAACAATGTGTGTTGTGGAAGTGATAAGACAGAATGTATTAGCTTGTTTAAATTTTTTAAATTGTGAAATTACTCTTACATAATGTTTAATTGAAATAGCTGTGCTGCATTATACTCCTAGCTTTATTGATTTGTTCTGTTTTTAATTCCATCTGATAAACTAAGCTATAAAAGACTTCAAATTAAATTTAAATTATTACAATTTGAATTTTAAAAATTATAATTTTGCTACAGCAATATTATAACTCTTGTAATGTTTTACAGTCCTTTTTTTAGTGACCTAATGGTTTCTCACCTGTGACAATTAATTTACTAAAGCTAGCTAAAGGAATAGGTTAAATATTGGTGGGAAATATACTAAGGTCTTGGACAGCCTGTAACTTTAAATATGGGTCTTTATTTTTGTAATGTTATGTTGAGCTTAACCCAAAACTAACCTTAGAAATAAGATCTTACTTCACTTTGTTGACTTCCCACTTATAATTTGAAGACTCCAAATGAGAAGTAAGAGCCGTTGGAGAAATCTCCTCCAGAACTTGTGTGTCGCTGCCGGTCCACACTGCCAAAGCTCGCCCTCCAGTGAGGACAGGACCGTGGCATCTCGTAGAAGTGGATGGATATGTACTTGTGCTATCAAGATTGTGATTACTTTTCAGTGTCTAAACTCTTATTTATAAACTAGTATGTCAGAAATAAGCCAATTTCTTTGTGAGAAAGGAGAATGCAGAGAAGGAATTGATGATGGGAATGTGAACATGTAAGCCAGTATGGAGGCTAGAAAAGAGTGCTCATGTATGGGGTGGCCACACAACCCAATTTTCCTAGGATGGACCCTGTTTATATACCTGTTGTCCTAGCATAATTGTTAATAATTCTCCCTTTAACCCTTAAAAGTGTCACTATTTAGATAATTAGTTATGTGATCGCCCTGCCCATGGCCCCTAGATTGTCCTAATGGCTCCTGTGATTACCACCAACAAACAGACCTTTAAAACTGCCCAGTTGTGGTTTTACCCTATTTGTGGCACCTCCTTGGGTCCTGGAAGTGGTGAGGTTTGAGCCTAGGACTTAGGTCAGGAAAGTAGGTGTCAAAGCCATTCAGGAGTAGAGGAAGAAGAGAAGTACAGACATCTTCTTAGACTAGGCAGATGGGGGTGGGGGCTATTAAAAATGAGGACTGGACTGGTATGGAGAGTGTTGTCAGACAAATAAGACTTTTCTTCCCTTGAGGAGTTTACAATTTAATAGAAGAGATGAAATGTGTATCCACATATAGTAAGATGATAGATGATTAATAGATAGGCAGATTTTTAAAAACATGTAAACAAATTATGTGGATGTTCATGGGAGAGAATGGTCAGTTTCAAGTTTAGGGATTAGGAAGACTTCAAGGAAACGTTGGCCTTTGAGCTAGACCTTTAAGAATGAGTTGGATTTCAACAGGTAAAGATAAGAAGGAGGCTGTTGCAAGCTGAGTTCACAGGGTGAAACATACTTGGAAATGGGAAGCACATATTCTGGGAAATCCATGTTTGGACCGTGGGAGTTCTTGTACATTTTTGAGCAGTAAAGGGTCGTGCTCAGAATTAGGCATATGGACCATGGGAGGTTTGGAGTGAAGGAGAGCTCAGAGACACCCTGTGGAGCACCTTTATTTTGCAGATGAGAAAATGGAAGCCCTCTGGTACCTCAGATTAATGACAGAACCAGAGTTAGAGCCCCAGTAGTCTCTTTGTCTGGTTTTTTCCTGCAATCTGGATCAGGAAAATTAGCCACATGTGGTGTGTTGATGAAGGATCAATATATAGCTGAAGCCCAGATGTCTTCAATAGTGATAATCTAAAGTTGTCTGTGTGGGGCTCTTGAAGTCATAGGTATCTTGTTTCTGATTTTTGCTCCCTATGAAGGTGGAAAACAATTCATTTTGTATACTTTGGTGTATATTAAAAGGCAAATTCAGTGAGCTTAAAATAAAGGAGACTGTAATCAATAGTTAGATCAAATTCCACTTGAAGAAATCTGATTATAAGTATCTGAACAAATGTTGTTACTTCAGAAAGCAGAAAATTTAAATATTTTACTTAAAATTTATGTAAATGAACTTGAATGCATCCACTGTTTACAATCAAATATCAAAATTGAGCTTGTTCTCTTGTATAATTAAAGGCTGGCAGCAGAAAATAAGGATTATGTAACCTGAGTTTAAGAGATTCTAGTGACTGACTGGATACTCTTTATAATACACAGCCCTCTTAAGAATGGATCTGTGCTGGCATTTCAGTGCTATGTCCCCCCTCTCCCATTGGTACAAGTGATCTCATTCATCATCTTTTTAAACTAAAGTGATTTTTAACATCCTTTTAATGTTGGTAAGAGTAATAATTCAGCTCTCTAGCTATCTTTGTTTATTAGTTTTAGATTTACCATCTGTTCTAGATTTAAATTTTTAAAAATTTTTATGAGATCTCTACTAACATATGGAGAGCAAGGATCAGCATTCTTCCTCTGTAGAGAAAAAACATTGGAAATTTTAATATTTGGTGTAGTGTTGCATAAAAAGAAAGTTCTCTTTAAAAGTTTTTTCACTGGACTTAGAGGACAGTATTCTAAGTGAAATAAGCCAAACACAGCAAGAAAAATGCTACATGATTCCACTTATATGAAGTATCTAAAATAGTCAGATTCATAAAATCAAAGACCAGAATGGCAGTTACAGGACTGGGGGAGGGGAGGATGGGGATTTGTTAATCAAGAGGCATA